ATTTAAAACAACTATCCAACATAACAAACTAACCATGGCTTCTCATATTTAAAACTATGGCTGAAAAACCAAGTACAAAACTATGGTGGCTACAAACCAAAAACAAAGTATTGTGGGATACTATATATTCACACACACACACACACACACATAAAGAGGTACTTCCTGTAAACTTGAAGCCATAAACCAATACTTCATACTCCATAGTCACAATATCCTTCCAACCATTTGTAGCATTATTGTACGTGAGAGAAAAAATGAAGATGCTATAGAAGCAAGCACATTTGATATCCCTAATGGAAGGTCATCCATATCCTTCTCCTTTTCAGATCGCTTGTCCCAGTGCATATATGGCCGCCTCGACCCACATGCGAAGGGAAGCTGAATTCTTTTCAACCTCTTGTTCTTATGGCGTCAATTTGAAGAATCAAGTTCATCTATAAGAGAAGATTGGCTGCAACCTCTATTTGAAGAATCACAAAAGTTCAGACATTTGGGATAGCAGCACGAACCCATGAATGTCTTCTTCAACAAAGAGGCAAGATGTGGAGGGCATGACGATAGCCGTGTTTGCTCCACAAGTTTGGCAAAGCTTGCTCAATTCTACGTCTTTTGAGCTTGCCATGGTTGTAGCTGTAGTGATGATACTGGAGCACATGTATAAATTGGATTAGTTTGAGATGAAAAGGATTCAGCTTCCTCTTCACATGTAGGTCTTGAGGCAGCCATATATGCATTAGGACATGGATTCTGACGAGGAGAAGGACATCAATACCATTAGGTAGGTCGAATGGTTTGTGACTCCAAGCTTACAAGAAATACCTCTTTATATATAGTATTGGACAACACTCTATTTTTGGTTTTGCAGCCAGTGTAGTTTTGTACTTTGTTTTGTAGTCATAATTTTAAACATAAGAAATCATGTTTGGACAGTTGTTTTAAATAAGTTAGTAGTGATTTAGATATAGAAATTTGTGAATTTTATGGTTGTACCGGTTTTATAGCCATAGTTTTAAATATGAGAAACCATGAGTGGTTTGCTGTGTTAGTTATTTTAAATAAGATAGTAGTGGTTTAAATATAAGAATTTGTGAATTTTATGGTTGTATTGGTTTTACAGCCATAGTTTTAAATATGAAAAACCATAGGCGGGTTGTTATGTTGGATAATTATTTTAAATAAATCAATAGTGGCTTAGATATAAGAATTTATGGATTTTATGGTCGAGTTTCGTACTTGGTTTTGCAGTCGTAATTTTAAACATGAGAAACCATGGGTGGTTTGTTTTGTTTGGCAATTATTTTAGCAAAATCGATAATGATTCAGATATAATAATTTATGAATTTTATGGTTCTAGTTTTGTGCATGGTTTTGTAGCCATAGTTCAAATTATAAATACTTTACAATGTCACTTTTTAGGAAATGTTATTCAGCATCCAGTTTAAACATAAATAGATGAATCAGCTAAGCCTTGGGTTCGCATATATCGTTGGAGGGTTGGCAACGAAAAAAAAAAAAAGGTCTTTGGAGGGCTTTTGTTTTTTTGGATTGGGCCTCCACTCATATGTATTGGAAGATGTTGCTAAAGCCTCATCCCTTGTTTTGTAGATTATTGAAATGACATTCCTATACAATAATTTTTTTAACAAAAATAATACTCCCCCTATTTATTTATTTATAGATTATTTTGAAAAATTTATGATAGAATTTATAATTTTTATTTTATAATATATTGATATTTATGATAGAGATAATATAACGTTCTTGTTCCTAAAAAAGATAGTATACAATGTTCTTTAACACGATTAAAATCCTGACGTAGCTTTTGTAGATTTTTTATATGTTACGTTGTAATTTATCCCTATTAGGCATTTGAATATTTGATGACTGATATAAAAAAAATATAATAAAAAATTAATGAATTTATGGCTATATATATGATATAGGACTATAAGAGATATGGTCTAAATTAAAGGCTAGCTACCAGATAAATTATACATGAATAATGCAAAACAAAAAAGAAGAAGATATAATTATAACTACTAATTATGAGACGTGGGTATTTGACTAAATTCATGTATCTATATTAAATGTTAGCGCCCGTAAATCGAATAAAAGAAGCTGGCTAGTTTCAATGTTTAGCTTTTTGAGCAATAAAAATAACTGTTCATCATGACAAATTGGTTTCATTTGTATAAAACCAACATCCACAAATTCTCATATAAAAACTACTATTGATTTTATTAAAACAACTGTTGAACACAGTAAATCACTCATAAATTTTCATTTAGAACTATAGCAGCAAAACTGAAAAATCAGGCACAAAACTACAGTCATAAATTTGCCGCTGCAAAACCAGGTATAAAACTACGATCATAAAATTCACATATTTTTATATTTAAATTATTATGATTTATTTAAAACAACTGTCCAACACAATAAACCACCATGACTTATTCAAAATAACTATCCAACACAACAAACTACTCATGATTTCTCATATTTAAAATTATGGGTGCAAAACCACATACAAAACTATAGCCACAAAATTGTGGCCACAAAAACAGGTACAAAACTGCAATCATAAAATTCATAGATTTTTATATCTAGACCACTACTGACTTATTTAAAACAACTATCCGACATAACAAACCACCTATGATTTCTCATGTTTAAAACTACGGCTGTAAAACCAGATACAAAATTACAGCCATAAAATTGTGACTATAAAACCACGTATAAAACTATAACCATAAAAGCCATAGATTTTTATGTCTTAACCACTATGACTTATTTAATACATGTGTCCAACACAACAAATCACACATGGTTTCCAAATTTAAAACTACTGTTGCAAAACCTGATGCAAAACTCCAGCCATGAAATTGTAGCTGCAAAATCCAGTACAAAATTACAATCATAAAATCCATAGATTTTTATATCTGAACTATTACTGATTTATTTAAAACAACTGTCCAACACAACAAGCCATTTATGGTTTCTCATATTTAAAACTACGGTTGTAAAACCAGGTACAACACTATGGCCACAAAATTGCTGCTACAAAACCATGTACAAAACTACAACCATAAAATTCATAGATTTTTATATGTAAACCACTACTGATTTATTTAAAACAACTATCCAATACAACAAACTATTTATGGTTTCTCATATTTAAAACTATGGCTGAAAAACCAGGTACAACACTACGGTGGCTATAAAACCAAAAAGAGTACTGTTCAATACCATATATATATATATATATATAGATAGGTACTTCTTGTAAACTTGAAGCCATAAGCCAATATTTCATGCTCTATAGTCACAATATCCTTTTCAATACAATTGTGTTTCTGAATCAATATGATTAAATGGCTGCCTTAGAATAATCATGGAGCCTCTCCAATATGCAGCCGGTCTTCATTTGCTTCATCGCTCAATTCGAGCCGTCCCTGTTATGAGGTGAAGCAACTTTATTGTCTTGTATTATTCACCTGCGAATAGTAGTTGTCTTCTTCTAACGACTATTATGCTGCTCTAGGAGTTTCTAAATTCGCCACTAGCAAGGAAATTAAAACGGCTTATCAAATGTTAGCTCGCCAAGTATCAACCTTAAATTGGGAGGGGGTATTGGGATTCTTCATTTCACATGGCACTAGTACTAGGCTCTAGAAAAGGTATATATCATATTCATTGGTACTGTGCTTAAAAGTGATTGGATCATTTATGGTAGAAATAATTACATTTTCTGACTGCATAATTGATTGATATTGTTGAATCATTTTCTTTTCTGGCAGGAAAAAAAAAAAAAGAATCATTTTCTAACTTCATTTCTCTTTGCTCATTTTATCATTCCTTTCTTTGCGTTAAATCTAGAATGATTGTTAATCTTTGGCTGTTAATCTTTCTTAAATATAAATATAAAATTAATCCCTTGTACCTCAACATTCCTAATTTTGTTTGCAAATCTAATCCAATCTCTATTTATCTTGTGGTGTTTCAAGTTCTTCTCCTTTTTTGTTGTTGGTGAACAGGCAAAGCCCAGATTACAAACTACAAGTTGTTCTTCTCCCTTTAAAAGCTAGATATATAGAGATGTTTTTGTGGAAGAGACCTCCCCAAGTATGTGTCAATCCAAATCATTCACTGAACTCAAAGGTAGTGCAAGTATCGGGTTTTGTGGCTGCAGGGTTTTGTTGAAGTACCAATAGCTATTGAGATAACTTGAGAATTTCTCTTCAATTTGATGACTGAAGATGGGAAGTGCAGACGTGAGAGTTGCGACGTGCTAACTCTGAATATATATGTGGTATGTAACCTGTTTGTTTTACCTTTTGATGATTTCGTGTGCGTAATATTTTCAAAAATTAATAAAAGTGAGGTGTTTTTACCTTTCAATTAAATATAATGTTATCAGTTACACAGTAACATAAAGAAGAAAAAATCAAGGCTAAGTTACATACAAATGCAGCCCCGAATGTTATTATTCCGTCCAATTACCTATTCAATCATGCTAACAAATATTTTTCCTGTCATGATATTTTTTCTTATAAAACCTTTATTAATACAATATTACTTTGTACATTATAATATTATGCATTGATTGCATTTTTTCATACATTGAATTAAAAGTCATTTACCTTAACATACATTTATTCTTATGCCAAATTAATATATATATTTTTAATTTGTGCATGATATTTGGTCCTCATTAACAAGCAAAACTATTAAAATTATTAATATAATTAGAATTAGAATATAACATCTAACTGGATAAACCAATCCATGCATCGCATGGGGAGAAGTTTCTAGTTTTCTCTTATAGATGAACTTGATTCTTTAAATTGACACCATAAGAACAAGAGGTTGAAAAGAATTCAGCTTCCTTTTTGCATGTGGGTCTTGAGGCAGCCATATATGCACTGGGACAAGGATTCAGAGAAGGAGAAGGATATCGATAACCCTCCACTATAGGTATGTCAAATGGTTGAAATACCTCTTTATATATATTACTGGACAACACTCTATTTCTGGTTTTGTACTTGGTTTTGCAGTCATAACTTTAAATAAGAGAAACCAGGACAGTTGTTTTAAATAAGTCAGTAGTGGTTTAGATATAAAAAGTTGTGAATTTTATAGTTTTATTGGTTTCACAGCCATTGTCTTAAATTAAATATGAGAAACAATCGGTGGTTTGTTGGGTTAGATATTTATTTTAAATAAGTTAGTAGTGGTTTAGATATAAGAATTTGTGAATTTTATGGTTGGACTAGTTTTACAACCATAGTTTTAAATATGAGAAACCATGGGTGGTTTGCTGTGTTAGACAGTTATTTTAAATAAATCAATAGTAGTTTAGATGTAAGAATCTATGGATTTTATGGTTGTAGTTTCATATCTGGCTTTGCATTCGTAATTTTAAACATGAAAAGTCATGGGTGATTTGTTTTGTTTGGCAATTGCTTTGGCAAAATCAGTAGTGATTCAGATATAATAATTTGTGGATTTTATGATTTTAGTTTTGTACATGATTTTGCAGCCATAGTTCAGAACATGAAAAATCATGGGTGATTTGTCTTGTTTGGAAATTATTTTAATAAAGTTAATACTTATTTAAATATAGGAATTTGTGAATTTTATGATTGTAGTTTTTTTTTTAATCTAATTTTACAGCCGTAGTTTCAAAAACATGACAAATCATGCCTAATTTGCTACAATTGTTTTAACAAAGTCAATAGTAATTTAGATATAGGAATATTTGGATAAATTTAAACATTCTCTGACACTTTATTTATTTAGCCATGTATGGAACTTTTTCAGGTTTTGTAGTAGTTTTATATTTGGTTTTGTTGTCCCAGTTTTGAGCATAAAAAGTTATGACATTTTGTGTTGGTTCAACCAAGACGCGGTCTCACTTGAAAAATAGAACTGGAAAGTCATCATAAACAATATTTCAAATAAATTCTATATACAACTGAACCAGATAATAAAAGTATAAAAAATCATATAATCTTCTTCAAGATAACCATTATAAAAGTGTATCAAATGACATCATTATATATATATATATATATTGAAACAGTTGAGTTAGTTTCAAAAACCAGTTTCGTTGAATCCTTGGGGAAGAAAAAATTTTAAACACAAGTTTCGTCCGATGGAATCGAGGACTTGGTCAAAGATTTCACTTCAATGGTGGAGACATTCAGAAATCAGAATACGTCACTGTCAAGTAAACATAAGCAAAGCTCATTCAGAAGTGGGAACGCTTGGCAGAAAATAACACCCTCGTAGCTGCATCTAACTTTGCTTACATGTCATTCTCATATTGAGTTTTTCAGAAACGAAGATCATGAGGAAATTTCGTTCAAACGCGTTATGGGACACATTATGGGCAAAGTCAACTATTTGCTTGTTGACGATTCTAATCTCCCCCCTTCCTCGCGCTTTCATATTTCATAGGTCATACAACTCTTTTTCTATGGGCTTGCTCTTTTCGATCATTATTTCTCTTCACTCTGAAATCTATTCGAGTTTTGACAACAGAGATGAGTTTTGTGTTTTCTCCACCGTCTTTTCATAGTTCATACGATGGTTTTCAGACACAAGCCCAAACTTCGTTCGATAAATTCGATGACAACTTTAATTCTACGATGAAATGGGCAGTGGCTGGGTCTATTGGTATGAAACTATTGATCTTCATTCATGCCTGCTATTTGACTTTTTAATGCACTGTGCCGAACGTCTCTGTTATGTTTATTGTTAATTTCATTTCTTACTATCTGAGGCAGACAGTTATTGCTTCAAAGCTCAAACCTGATGGAAATTATAACAAAAAATGATCTTAGTTGAAATAATGATTCTTTTAGTTGCTTTGATCTTCTGTTTTACATGAGAAAATTTACAGGTATACTGTTCCATTTTGATTTTCAGTTTATCTGTTGGTGGTGATAATGGCCATTATAGCAGTAGTATACGCCATTGTTCAGTGCTTGAAGAAAGCAGGATCAGTGATTCCAGCTTACACCCAGATTCCAAATACAGATAATGACCATAAAGCTTCAAATTCACCTCCTTCAAACAACAAAGAAATTGCATTAGCAATGCCACCAGATTCACAAGTGGAGTTTGCAACTATGGAAAGATTCCTCGACAACATCAACCAAGAGAAACCCATCAGATTCTCACCTGAGGAACTTGAAGAAATCACAAAGAACTACACCACTGTTTTGGGGTCAGGTGCTTTTGGGGTGGTTTATGAAGGTGAATTGTCAAATGGACAGCAAGTTGCGGTGAAAGTTCTCAACAGTTTGGATCTTGGTACAGAAGAGCAATTCAGGGCAGAAGTTAGCACCATAGGAAGAACTTACCATATCAATTTAGTTACGCTCTATGGCTTTTGCTTCCACCGTGAAAAGAGAGCTCTTGTATATGAGTATGTGCAAAATGGGTCTCTCAACAATTTATTATTTGGCAGTCTGAACAGAGAAGTTGAGTTTGGGAAGCTTCATGAGATTGCCATTGGAACCGCAAAAGGAATTGCTTACTTACATGAAGAGTGTCAACATAGGATCATTCATTATGATATTAAACCAGAGAACATACTTCTTGGCTTGAACTTGGAACCAAAAGTAGCCGATTTTGGTCTTGCAAAACTTTGCAGCAGAGAAAGCAGCCATGTCAATATGACACACTTCAGAGGAACAAGAGGATATGCTGCACCAGAATTGTGGAAGTGTTCTCCTGTGAATTACAAGTGTGATGTTTATAGTTTTGGTATTATTCTCTTTGAGATTGTGGGGAGGAGAAGGCATTTTGATAGTGGCTGCAGTGAATCACAGCAATGGCTTCCGAAATGGACATGGGATATGTTTGAGAACAATGAATTACCAGTGATGCTTTCACTGTGTGGAATTGAAGAGAGAGACCGGGAAAAAGCAAAGAGAATGTTAATGGTGGCCCTTTGGTGTGTTCAATATTTGCCTACTGATAGACCTCTTATGAGTAACGTGGTAAAGATGTTAGAGGGTGACATAGAAGTCCGTCCACCACCATTTCCCTTTCAGAATTTGGTGTCTTGTTTGCCACCACTGACTTCGCAGCAGGGAACCAATGAAGGCTTAGATGCTTCTACTTCATGGGTGACAGAATCTTCTGAAACAATCTAATTCTAAACCAGCCAACAAGATATTCCATATAGAAAAATCTGCATAGATGTATGTTCACATTGTGTAAAATTGAAAATTCTTTTACTTTTGTCATTTAGTATGACTCTGCTTTGTAAATTTTGCATAAGATGAAGCCAAATTCTTGTTTGCTATGCTTCTTCATATCTGTTACTCTCCTAAGCAACCCCTTTTACAGTGTTGACTCGCAGGATATTTCTTTGATTGAAGAATCATTTTTTGCGCTCCAGAGAGGTATAATTTTTATTTTACCATATTAGGTCGGTAATCTTGAAAAGAAGAATCAAGTTCTTTTTTTTTATTTTGTTATAGGAATTATAGGCTTCGAGTTGAGGTCGAATCTAATAACTTCCCGAAATTTTGGTGTTAATGCCCTGTTTGCTTGGTGAAAACCGGTAATACAGCCCCCCAATAATCTTTCAGTATCACATAATAACTTTCTGAAGCAAATTTTGTACTACACATATTATAATCTATTCAATGTGTGATATAAAATCCACATACCAAGTGGCACTATTAATCTTATTTTATGAAATCCTCGCAATACACGTTCCGATTTATTTAGTTTTATTTAAAACATCTAATGACAGACTCCAAAAGTCCCCCCCCCCCGGGACTGCAACTTTTATTAGTATCGAAGTCACCATAAAGTTATCCAACTAATGTCAGCCGAATGTGCCGCGTCCACTGGAGAAATAAGAGGACCCACATGCCTAAGATGTTATGCAGTTGACTGGTTAGCAACTATGGTGAATGTTGAAAACTATGAGCAACAAGCTGAACACTGAAGTTTTGCTTGAATCATCCTCTTACATATGGTTTCTGGAATTACCCTTATAAGCGACCCGCTTCTTAGTCTCTTCAGAGATTTACACTTATAAGTGGCATGGAACTTTCAGGATGTGCAGATAAAGAAGCAGAACTTTCCATGGATAAACAAATAAAATGTTACATCTAAGAACAGAATAGATCTAACATTGTTTTCTAATCATAGAAAATAGATATTCCGAAACATATACACTGAATATGGATGCTCCCATCTAAACAGAAGATATTTCGTGTTAATCTTGGCTGGTGGCTATTTGAATGTCACACTTACTCATGATACAGAAGAGCCAAAACCAATACTAGTATCAGTCTGGTTGTCTGAAACAAGTTACCTGCCATCCATCAAGTACTGAATGGGATTCACAGGTTCTGGGATTTCCACTGAACTCTTAACATTTTCATCACAATGCTCGTCATAGGCCTCAATTCAGTTCTATGCTAAACACACCAATGAGCTATCTGAACAATTCTTTTTGCTATCAGATTTTATCCGAATACATCTTGAAAACTTCTTTTTATTAATACCCATTTCGTTCCATAACGTTAAATTTTGCTAATTTATTCATCATAGATATAAAGCTAGGATCTCTTCACAATGACATACAAATTATTGCACTATAAATGACCCTGTGAACCTAATAATCCTGGATGTGGGAACCCGGTCTGGCTTGACAAAGCCCAGTCTAACCCAAAGAGGGAAAAAGCCCAAAAAGGAACTAGACAGGATTGGGTCCAACCTTATGTCCGGATTGGGCCGAGTAGATAGCCCAGGCTGACCTGAGGGTGTTAATTTTTCTTTTAAACAGGTCCATAAACTAAACCAACAGAGGTTGGGTTTAGCGGGCTAGTCCATTACAATGTGACGAACTAAGGTTTGAATTCCCACTGAAAGAGGTGTCTACATTTAGTACCCGACAGTATC